AGGCGGGGAGGGACGGACCTGGGGGAGGCCGTGCACTGGGGGAGCTCTGTGAAGTGTCCAGTGCAGGGACTATAAATTACAGCCCTGTCTCTTATTTTCAGTTGATCTAATGCAATGTGTCACCTATCACTGCACTCTTATTCCATAATTAATGATGTCTAGGAAAATATTCTGAAATTCTCCTCTGATAAGCACCAAGACAAACTTGACGTTTCCTCTCCGAGATGCGAAAGGGGACGTTACGCTGTTTCCCCCCCCACGTCCCTCGAGCCATGAGAAGTACCAGATCCGTCTCTGCTGGGCCAGACTAAGCCCTGGTTCACCACAAACTCGCTGAAGTACCGACAAATGATCTCCATAGTAAATGATGCAAATAAGAAATGTCAGCATGCTCCAAAATTCCTCGCTTAATCTTATTGCCAGTTGTATAGTCTGGATAATCAGTAAATAAATCCCTCTAACTCTGCTCAAATCCTTAGGGGCTGAATACACAGAGAGCGCTTTCTCATTCATTCTCATTAACCTTCCCAGCTCTAAACAAAGCAATTTCCTACTTTTCTTAGTGCCTGATTTTTCCACTGGCCTCTGCAACACCTGATTTAGCGGCAGTGATTTCTCACTTGTGATTTCTGTTTCGAACTGGCATTGTTCTTTCTCCTCACACACACACGCTTGCCGGAATAGCACGAATCAGCAAGATTTAAAACCTCCCATTCTCAAGTTTGAAGCCCCTAAAGGGAAATTGCAGTTGTGATGCCAAGGAACACAGTCGTACGTTATTTGACTTTTCCTCGGCCAGGCTGAGAGCGGAGGGGGAGGGAGGGAGGAAGGAGAGGAAGATGGCATTTTAATAGCACCCGCACTGATCGCACACAGTTGGATCACTGTGCTCCAGAGCGGCACCATTTCCTCTCCCCTTTGCCTCGCACTCGCTCCATGCCGCTGAGCCAGGCTCTACAGGAAGGATTCTCAATCTTTTTCTCCCAGGGTGGACCACATCTTAGTGCAGAAATCTGTCTTGTGGAGCAGGCTAGCCCCCCGCCCCCTTCACTCCTATTTTTGACAGACCATTACCAACTCAAGCCTTGCACAGACCACCCCACCCGCATCCCAGATAGGGCTAAATGGGCCAACATTCCTGCCACGACAAGATGGATTATCCCTCCATCTCTCGCTCCAATTCTCACAGTCTCTCTAGCATCCCCCAGTAACTGCTTATTAAAAAAAAAATTAATAACAGGAATGTACTTAATCTAATTTAGCAAGTGGACATGCAAGAACCACCAGCGTCTTACGTAGATAAATCTACCTTTCCCAGATGTTAGTCATATGCCAAACATATCCTGGCCAGAGTCCTCGTCCAAACATTTCATTGGATAATTCATGTCCTAAGATTCAAAGCTCTCATACACATTAATGGGTTTTCCATAAGCCTTCTGTCAGGCAGGGTGACACTGGTCTACAGATTCTGGCAGAACTCGTACGCCCATAGAGCATCACCGATCACCACCGTCGCTCGTCCCCATTTAAGAACTCCTTTAACTCTGCAAGTAAAAATCTGAGCTGGAACATTCCTGTGGCAGAAAAGCCTCAAAACCCATCAGGAGAGGAATCTGAAAACACCGCGAGCTTCACTGTTAGACAAAAGAAAATCATCCGTCCAGGAGCATTTTGGATTCAGGCCACAAGAAGAGAAATTGAAAATTACTGGGTAAAATTATTTGCAGGGGAAGAAATGAGTTGTGAACAACCATGCTGCACATAACCCTGGACCAAATGAAATTAGATACTGCTTTACGGCACGGCTTCCATTTTGTGTAAACATGCCAAAACCCCTCTCAGTATTCTACAGAATGAGTAGAAAATGAAAGAATTTTTCTTTTTTTCCCTAAAAGAAAAGCAAGTTGTATTTAAGAGACAGCGAGATTCTGGTAAGTTAATACACGTGTCTGTCAGCAACAAACATAAACACTTCACGTTACAAGACCCCATGCTTGTCACCACGAGCCAAAACGAAGCCGCAAAGTTTAAACCCGACGCCGCTCTGACCCCCTTGCCGTGGGGAAGGGGAAGGAGAGCAGTGACGAGCCCTCCACCCTGAGCAGACGCAGGAGTTTACCTTTGCAGTTGAGCCCCCCCGGCTTTACTCTTGCTACGAACAACCCTAACCACGCGCTTCCGTTGGGCTGCTTTTGCAAATTGACTTTTTTAATGATCTAAGGCATTTTAAGCCCCAAGGTTTGATTTTGTGTCCTCCCCCCCTGGTCAGCAGCAAAAGGTAAAGCCAAGACTCGTTTGACAGCTCTCATGATTCAGCTCCGGCACAGCAACGTATGATGAAGGAATCCCATCCTTGGGGCAGCACGATGAAGACTCAAACTTCTTTCAGACGGAGAATGGTAACTCACACGTGCTCCCAAGGATTAGAACCCTTGTTGCTCGGAAGAGAAAAAATTGCCACACCATTACAGGGCCAACCCCTTTCTTTTTGGAAGGTTCCTGCCTGCTGAGCAGAGCGGGGTAGTAGGAGCAGTGGTTTAACCTATCGTCCCAATGATTGAATGCCTCGCAGTCATCACAAAAGTTTCACTCTTCTTCCTCCATGGTTGTATTTTAAAACATTTTCTGTGATAAAATTACTGTGAGACAGCTAAATCCAAGGGCGGGCATGGAACTTGAACCCGTGGCCTTCTGCCTTAGAGGTGAGACTATTCCTCGCTGAGCCAAAGTGACACATACATAATATGCTTTCAAGGTTTTGAGAGCGCTCTGTCATGATTTAAAAACACTAAGTCTTTGTGGTACAAACCACAGCACAGGAAAGAACTGGGGCTCCCTTTTTACTGCTAATTTTAGCTGATGAATTGTTTGTAATCCCCTGCAAAACGCATAAAGCCTTATTCTGCCTTAAGCTAAGAGAGAACAGCCTTTCAAAACCGATTCTTAATTATAGTGTTCCCCTGCTAGACGGGATGGAGGGCAGGTTCCAAAATTGTGTCAGAGTATATGAAGTGATAAAATGAGGATGGGTGAGCTATTTTTAAACACACTCAAAGAGTCTGAGGTCAAAATCCCTGAATTTATAGCCTTATGGCCATTTTAAGACTCACAGATTATTAAGACCCTGCACAGCGAGATTCAAATATCGTTTCATTCCAGACACCCGTCGGCTTCAGAGCACGTGTTCCCTACCCGTCTGCCTGCCAAACGGGGGGCCCCCAGGGAGCCACCTGTAGGCGCAGCCTGTATCCCTACCGTACCCAGGCATTTGGGGATGAGGTGCTTCCATCACAGTATTCCTTCCCCCTCTCTTCTCCCAAGACATTTTGCAAGGGAAGGGCCTGCCTTTCCAGATGAGCAGGAAACAAGCGGGTTGGAGAGAGTCTTAGGCAAAAGCACATCATTGCTCCTTCTTCTGCCCAGGCTGGAAAGCGAATGCAGCCTCAGGCCCTGGAGATATTCCCTCATTTCCCATTGGAAGAGGGCAGCTGGGCACCTGTGGGCACTGCACAGGGAGCTCGCTGCTCCGGGACGGGATGGAGAGCTGCTGCTGCCCACTAACATCCCGCCAGCTTACACAAAAGCGATCCTACCTCTCCTACATGGTTTCTTCCCCACTGCAGGGAGAGGAGCTTACAGACAACTCCTAAAATACACTGTAGAGGTACTTTTTAGAAAATCCAGGTTTCTAACAAAATCATTGTTCTGCTCATGGAAATAAACCTGGGAAGGAACTGGCCTTTGCCCCTTTACACCGCCGAGTAACACTCCTGATCTCGGTTGTGACTCATGGCACCGTCTGGCTGTGTGAAAGCTGTCACCCTCTACACACACACCGGTTTCTTTCCAGGAATGACCAACGTACACCATTTTTCTGAAAAACGCTACCAAGCGAGGAGAAGCAAACCAGATGGAATTTCCCAGCCGTACCAGTAGAAATGGAAATAGCTCTACGCTCTCTTCCCCGCCTTTCTTGACAGTCCACAAAAGCTTTCGTAGTAGCTTCCTCTAGAAGGAGGATGGAATTTCCCAGCCTTACCAGTGGAAATGGAAATCGCTCTACGCTCTCTTCCCTGCCTTTCTTGACAGTCCACAAAAACTTTCGTAGTAGCTTCCTCTAGAAGGTACAGCTCCTCCTGAGGCCAAAAAGAAGGCTTTAGGGCTCCAAGGACACTGCAAAATGTTTTGCACCACTTACACTGTTCATTTTGTAACTGAGGGGAGGTTTTATGGGAAGCCATCGCACAGAGATGAGCAGGAGAGAGCAGGTACTTTGGAAAAGACCAGACAGTGGTTAGAAACATCAGAGGAAGACAAAAGGCTCTAAAGCTATCTCCATGTGAGTAGGTTTATTTGTCCAGTTTCTGCAATTGCGTTTACCTAAGCATCACTATAACCGGACATTTTTTCCACTCGGATTTTCATGCAGTGATACGTAACACAAAATACTCATGAACTGTAGGTGGCCAAAGCAAGAGTAAAAACATTAGCCAGAGCAAAACTCAAACCTTTGCTTGGTTGCTTATGTATTTCTAGAGTAATAAAACCACTTAACACGCACAAAACAAAAGCCTTGTAAAAAAAAAAAAAGGTTTAGTACAAAAAAGGCCTAGGAAGCAGTTAAAAAAAATAATTCTGTGTTCTTGGTCCTGTTAGCCATTAATGTGCACTCACGTTTTGATTAAAAGGGGTTAATGGAATGGGTTCTGCATTATACTGACCATGCACTTATCAGCTTTAGAGGGTCTCCCACCCTGAGCAATGCTGAAGGGGCCCGTGTCCCTTACCTGGGCATTTTGCAAGTATTTTATATTTTTATTAGACCATCCTATATATATTAAAGACTCATTCTTACAAAACTTCCCGTTCTTGGTCTGAAAATCTTGACCACTGCAACAGCAGTCAACATGGTGAGTTCAGAGACACTGTCCCTCCTTGAGGTCAAGAGATGTCATTCCTACATGGCTACGGATGCCCATTATTTATTTGAAAACTGTTACTTTCAGGAGGTGGGTCTTATTTATCTCCAACGGCAGCCACTAAGAATCTTCCACCCGACATCCACCAGCATTTCCTTGGACTAAAACAACCTTTCAGGAGTGGCAAAACCAGTTTTAAAGCTTTTCCTACAGGTGCCCTTCATGAGTTTGATTTTCAGGCGCACAGAATTCCTGAACTCCGCTCTGCACCACAAATCATCCTTCAGCCACATCCTGTACTCTTGCATCCCCATCTGCTCCCAGCAAAGCCTCTGGCAAAATTCCCACCGAGTTTAATAGCCCTGTCCTATTCTCCCCAATTCCAACCAAGGTTAATTTCTTTCCTCCAAGTATAAACAGAAATCAGCAGGTAAAAAAGTTTGGTCTAATGTGGCACTAAGGCTGTGGAATTTACTCCCATGTGAGAATGGCACAATAAAGGCATTTGTTTAAAAGTAAATTGAAAACATTCCAGTCCTCTCAGGCTCACAACTATTAGCTTTAGTTTCTGCACAGCACTGTAGAATGTCTGGCATCAAAGGCACTTTGTACATTGCACTGAACTCATATTGGGCACGGTTAGTGGACTATTAATCACAGCGAACAAAGATCCCATGCAAACACAAAGAAGGACTGATTTTTTACGTGGTCAGCATGGTCTAGAAAAGGTTAACGGCACAGTTTTCTGGATACTACACATTTTGAGACATGAAGCGTTGACAAGGCATCTGAAAGGGTGAAGATTTTTCAACTGATAATTACATATTCCACATGAAACAATTCGTATTTGTGCCTAATGCTCGCTAGCGTTAGGCAGAAACGTAGCTCAGCACAAACAAGCTGAGTTTTAATTCAGGTGACTCCAAATGCATGTACTTCTATGCCCCCACACAGATACCACACGTGTGTGCAGGGCAGCGGTTATTGGGAAGAAAATCAACAACGATGTGAGCCCTGGTTCACACGAACCATAAATGTCTTGTGAGGCCCCCCCTGCAGTTCTGCGTCCAGCTCAGAACCCCAACATCAGAAGGATATCGACTGGTTGGAGCGCGTCCAGAGGAGGCCACAAAGATGCTCCCAGGGCTGGAGCCCCTCTGCCATGGGGACAGGCTGGGAGAGTTGGGGGGTTCAGCCTGGAGAAGGCTCCAGGGAGACCTTATAGCACCTTCCAGTGCCTGGGGGGGCTACAGGCCAGCTGGGGGGGGCTTTTTACAAGGGGCTGTAGTGACAGGACAAGGGGTAACAGGTTTAAATTGAAAGTGTGGAGGTTTAGATTGGCCATCAGGAAGAAATTCTTCCCGGAGAGGGTGGAGAGGCACTGGGACAGGTTGCCCAGATGTGGACGTCCCATCCCTGGAAGTGTTCAAGGCCGGGCTGGATGAGGCTTGGAGCAATCTGGTCTAGTGGAAGGTGTCCCTGCCCTAGGAGGTGGGGGGATGGTCTTTAAGGTCCCTTAAAGGTCCCTAGGGGCAGGCGGTGGAACAGGATGGTCTTTAAGGTCCTTTCCAACCCAAACCATTCTGTGAATGACGATGGCTGGAGAAAGTGGAGGCGTATGCAAACCCTACACTAACAGATCAGCTAACCTGAGGGAACGCACCTGTGTCTTTGGAAGAGAAATGGGAACTGAACCAGGATGAAAATGAAAAGCCCCGAAAAGGAAAACCAGTCGGGAGCCAAGCAACCAGCAAAGGAAGCACGGAGGAAAGACCATGGTCTGGAGTTGCAGGCTGTGTTTCGGGGTGCAATTTACTGATAGCTTCAAAGGAGAAAATGCTGCATCGCAGGAGCATGAATTACTCCTTTCAGCTCCTCGTAACTGTCATGGGCTTAGAGTTTCTTATCTTCGAGACCAGAGAAAGGGAAAACCTAAGTCGTCAGCCCAAAAGCTTGCTATTTGACAAGATGATTTCCATAGTGTTCCGCAGAGCAAAGTATTTTGGCTACCAAGCTTTTTACAGACAAAAGTTCTTGCACGTTTGTGCCACTGTCGCAGGTGAAACAAAACTTACTGTATCATGATGGTTCTTTCCTAGGCAGGACAAAAGATGTGAAAGGAAGCAGCGAGGGAATAAATTGCCACCCTCAAAAAAAAGAAAGATGCGTTGTGCAGAATCTTCTAAAAGTATAATTGATATAGAGCCTTATTGATTCGTCAGCTCCCAGAACACAACAGCTCCTGCTACGGCCCATGGAGTGAGTGCGGAATCACAGTATGAGGGTATCAACATGGTACTCGGGTCTGTGGAACAGCAAGTGCAGCGTCCACACCCAACAAAATGGGAAGAAAAGCGATGCAAGTAGAGGCTCGTTAGTCAAACCATCACTGTATGCAAGGCTTTTGAACATGTTTTCAAAGCAAGACTTAAAAAAAATGACAAAAAACAACAACCAAACAAAAAGCCCCCCAAAAAAACCCAAGGAAAGGTGGCAGGGCATACCAGACTCAATCAATTAACTCATTTCTGGCTAGGGGAAACTTGACAGATCTTTGGTTCAGCAAAGTGATAACCTGGCAATTAAGTTTCTAAAGATGAGTATTAATGAAAGAATGGTACAGTAAAAAAACCTGTCTAACTGATAAACAAATGATAACGTGGGAATAAGAACTAGCAGCCTTGAAGGATTTCACCAAAGTGTCCAATGGATCGGTCTTGCTGAAATAACGCAGCGTGAACTTGACAGTTAAATTTGTTTCTGCCCATAACACAGAATTGTGAGGTGCTGTCAACACAATGTGGGATTTAACAGTGTCCTGGAAGACGCAGATAACTTCAAGGATTGGAAAACCAGAAACAGGATAAAATAAGTCATACGCTGACAGTCTCGTCTGGATCACTGATGGAGGGGGCTACGTGCCTTCTGGTGAAAGATAACGCTCTACATTTCCCTTGTTTCCAGGGTCGTAGCGCTATTTCCATTTCCTTAAGAGTCAAATGAAACTGCGTGGCCAGAACAAGAGGATTTCATCACAACAGCACTGAAACTGCTTTTCAGCCTCCACAGGGTAGAGCACTGCAGCCTTTGAGAGCCCTAGACAGTTAAATTGAAATAACTCGGCATCTTTTATGAACTATACGGCTCTCTTCCTTCCTCCCCCACAAGGTCCTTGTCCCTGTTCCAAGCCCTACTCCCCTGCCTCCAAGCGGGAAAGGGCTCTGCATCAGCTCTCCCATTAAGCTGAGGAGTATATCTGGGAGGAAAGAATGAAGATATTTGTTAGTGGTCTCCAAAATCTCCCATGCACAAACTGATTGACCCAAAGCTGCTTCTGCTGCTTACTGGGCTTGGGAAAAGAGGAATGTGTCTTTGGAAAAGACCTTTTTAAGAAGCCACCGAGCATGGAGACGGTTGTTTGACCGCTTTCTTCAGTGGGGGCTGGAGAAGTAGTCTATGTTCTAGAGGTCTGTGCAGAGCAATTTAGGTAGCCTGGTCAGACTAGAGCAGAGAAGCGGTGTAAGGAAACAATTCCTGCCCTTCCAAGATGATTTTCCCATTCCTATCTCCAAACTGGAGGATCAGTCCTCTGAATCTGCACCTTCTATGGACTCGTATGTAAGGAGAGGGGCCTGGCCCTACGGAGTGATCTGAAGGGCAGGAGGAGCAGACAGAAACTCACTCTCAGTACAGTGAGCTGGTCCCATGGGTCAGCTCGTCACCTTCCGTCACCCTTCCACAAGCCTTCATCCAACTTGGCAAGAGGGCGAGCCTTGTGTGAGAAGAGCCGGCAGCTGAAAAGGCAGGTAAACAGCCAACTCAAGACCTTGATGCTCCAGTTATCACATTGGCTGCTGGGTACAGTGTAATGGAGAAGAGAAAGTAAAAATTTTACCTGTGACCCTAAAATGAACATTTAAATTGATAAAAGCAAGTTGGACTGGACCCTTGGTACTATGTATCATACCTGAGACAGTCACTGTGTCAGTGACTGGTCTCATCTAACAGAAGGTCGCTTTAGAACCACTAAAGGATCAAATGACACATTTGAGGATCTGCAACTCCAGGTAAATCTCCACACCCACCTAGTGAAAAATTTTGGGGTGTTTATCAGAAGGGGAATGGTAGAAGGGGGTGAGAGGGAGGTGAACTTTTTAAAGTATAATTTATTTTCTGGCCACCTTCCTTTCATAAGGGGAAAAAAACGTTCAGCTTAAATTACAGTCATGCAGACAAGCGCTCTCAGCCCCAGAAATTCATCCTACATGTTGATTAATAGTCAAACTATTAAAGCTTTAGCATGAAAAATGCTAGGCTTCAACTGGCGATCGCCTGTAGCTAATGATGCAGTGGAATGAACATTTTCATTCCAGCTAAACCATTCCTGTTCTTGTAAAAATAAAGAAATCCACTCTTGGTTTATGAAAAAGATTTAAAGAACTCTGCATACTTCTTGGCTTAAAATAACACCATGCATTTTAAACCAACCTGTATATATAGGGTACGTTACCTGTGAAGTCAAACATACACGTCCACGTAGAGCATAAATACCTGCACGGTGAGGTCAGGGAGCAGAATAGAAGCTGGTGACCATAACCTAGAATTTCACATGTTCAGGCACATTACAGAGTTACCAGATTTTAACACAGCTCCTGTCTCAGGCTAAAAAAAAATTAAAATGTAATAGAAAAACACACTGTAAGGAAGTGCAGCAGGCTGTATAGCATCTGCCTCGCAAGGCTGCCTGACACGGGCAGGACTTGCCTGGAGACCTCCCTGTGGTTCAGCCCCCGGCGCCATCAGTTGGGCTTGAAATCCAAAGCAGCGGAAGGAGGTAATTAAAAGTGACTCTGCACCACTCCGCTGGCAAAAGACGACTCCACTGCAGCCACCCAAAGAGGGTGGGAAGAGATTCAGGGGTATGTAAGAGAAGGCATGTGTCCCTCCGGCTGCAGTGATTTCCATCACGGAAACGCAGCGCTTCACAGATTTTTAACCTTTGTGCCGCTGAAGCCAAATATCAACTTTTTTTTTTTCATTTTAATTTCAGCACATAAAACGCCTACTGCAGTTTGGCTAATGCCAACAGCACGTTCTCCCTAAGCTGCAAGTAAGGTGCAGAACTCAAAGAGCACCGGAAGGGAG